GCCTCAGGCCATGAATTTCCCAAGGCAGGCTGTGATGCCTTACTGATCTCTCAAAAAGGCGCAGGATCAAAACCTCAAAAGCAAAAGTCCCTCAACACTAATTAGCATTACTGCTATTACACTAAGAATAATAATCCCATATTGAGATCATTTACACCGAGCTGAGGATGCAAAGTTCTCCCTAAGTTCCTCCAACTAAACATCGACAAAAAGTATGAAACAATTGCAGTTTCCCCTTATGAAGACATTTCAGTGGCCGAAACTCCCCCAGATTGGGAAAGAGGTGACAGGGGAATGAATGAACTGCTAGGAAAATCTTCAGCCTCTGGCCGAGTGTGGCCCCAAAGAAAACCCCGGGAAGCGGACCCCAGCTCCGGAGGTTCGTCGGGGTCCAAGGGAGCTGGGCCGAGTCCTCGGCCCCCAGCCCGGGTCACCAGCGCAGGCATGGATGCCGCCTCTCAGGTTCCTTTCTTTCAAATCTCCCGCTGTGTTCCCATGCTTCCCCCCAGCCCCGCTCACAAGTCTGCAGGCAGCGTAGTCTCCTCCCCAAAACTCTTCTCCATCAGCAGCTCCAGTTCGCCTAGCTGCTCCATCCCAAGCGCGGGGACCTCAAACCGCCGCCAGGAAAAACCAGAGGGAGCCCAGGACAACACCGCAAAGTAGCGCCAGATCGTGCAGCGCCGCGCGCCTGCGCCGACCTCCCGGATCCCAGTTGACCTGCGCAAAGCCTGCGTCCAGCTCCCCGCGCGCGTTGCTACGTGTTGCAAGCTGAGCTTGCCCTGAGGAGGCGGTTGGGCGCCTCTTTGCTCCAACTAAATGCTCCCGCCCTCTCTTTTGGCATTCCAGCTCGTGTCAGACGCTTGCTCTTAGTTTGAACCATTTGCACTTGTCCAAAACCAGGTTTCCCGCCTTAGACTTCAGAATTTTGCTTTCCCTGGGAAACAATACCTGTCACAGTAGCTCATTCCTGGAAAGCTCATTGAGAAAATAGACACTATTAGACAGGAACTTCATCATGCCACGACTTAATCTACAAAACTACCAATACCTACACCTGTCTTATATTAATTACCTTTCCACTTTTTCCGAAAGAAGACAATGTGTTTCTTGTCAGTGGGCAATCCCTCCCCCGTACTTTGCCTTCCAGGGCTAACATCCTCAAGGGCCTTGCTTTGTCAATTATTGCCTTAGTCTCCGGTATCATCAGTATCACCTGCACTATCCACGTTTGTCCAGTGTTATGAAAACAAGGTGTTGGCCTAGGTTAAGTTACTCGTTGCACAAAGATCCAATTATTGAGATGGGAGGATTATTATTATTTAGAGACAGAGTTTCACTTTATCACCCTCAGTCGTCCTATGGCGTCACAGCTCACAGCAACCTCCAACTCCTTGGCTTAGGCAGTTCTCTTGCCTCAGCCTCCCAAGTAGCTGGGACCACAGGCGCCCACCACAA